GTGACTTAGCAGAAGGCACGTTTCTCGGTTCCACACACACTCATGGTTTGATTTCGTTACAGTGATTTGTTTCTCCTGTTGCAGGCACCAAAGGCCAAGAGAGGATTGAGAGGTGAGTGGCGAGAAGGAAGGTCAGCTGTCAGCCAAACACAGTTCCCCGCCGGGGGGGGGGCCCAAAGGAACCTACATGTGTCCGTGTCTGAGTGTTCCTGGCCGTTTCCCCGTAATTCCATTGGCAGCCTTGGTTTCCAGGGATTCCTGATGCGGCCTCGGTGGCCCTTCGCGTAACTCAGAAATTAAACGAGGGCTGGGACTTGGGGGAGAATCCTTCTCACCGGGGTCTGCACCCGGCGGTGCTCGGTTGGGGTTAGGGGTGGTGAAGGCACTTGAGCTGGATGGGGTCCCCACGTGCCCACAGAGAAGTGGCCAAGGCGGTGTGCCCCCAGACCAGTCCTGCTGGAGGGGTCTCAGGGGGAAGGGTTCTAGCAGGCTGTCGGTATGAAAGAGGCCTGTACGCGCCTAGAAACCTCGGGCGCTTTCCCCAGAGACGCGCTGGGCTTTGTTCAGAACCTGGAAGACTGGCTTGTTGCCAGAGAATGAGAAGACGTCTCGTGGCCAGTGAGAGAGAGCTGGGCCACGTCCAGCGTCCCTGAGGGCCTGTGGTGAGGGCTCGACGTGCGGCTGTAGGGACCATTCTTCCTCCTCAAGTCGCCATGCCGCCCGCTCTGTTCCAGGCTCCATTGATGACGTCCTTGAGGACCTCCTGGGGGACGAGAGTAAGTGCCCTTTCCAGAATCCCCTGACGTAGGCGTCTTCTTCTTTAAGACACATTTCACATAAAATTTACTCTTTTAAAGTATATGTGTCGGTGACTTTTTGTATATTCACAAAGTTGTCCTACCATCGCCACAGTCTAATTCCAGAACATTTTCATCACCTAGAAAGAAACTCCATGCCCATTAGCAGTCATGCCTCATTCTCTCCTCCCCCCAACCCTAGGCAACCACTGACCTTTCTTTATGGATTTACCTCTTCTGGACATTTTTAAAAAAATATTTTATTGATTTTTCACAGAGAGGAGGGGAGAGGGATAGAGAGTTAGAAACATCAATGAGAGAGAAACATTGACCAGCTGCCTCCTGCACACCCCGCACTGGGGATGTGCCCACAACCCAGGTACATGCCCTTGACCGGAGTCGAACCCTGGACCCTTCAGTCCACAGGCCGACGCTCTGTCCACTGAGCCACACCGGTCAGGGCTCTTCTGGACATTTTATATGAAGTGGAATCATGCCGTCAGTGGCTTTTGCCTCTGGCCTCTCCCACTGACCGGGATGTTCTCAAGGTCTCTTTCTTCGGTCCTCTCCGCGGCTGGGCAGTATTCTGCTGTGTGACTGCCACCTTGTGTTTAGTCAGCCATTCGGTGGTGGATATGTGGGTGGTTTCCACACGTTCCTAGGCTGTTAGGAATAATGCTGTATGAACGTTCATATACAAGTGTTTGTGTGGATATTCGTTTTCAGTGCTTTGGGGGTATAAACCGAGGAGTAGGATCACTGGACTACATGCTAACTCTGCGTTTACCTTTCTGAGGTACCGCCAATCTCTTTTGACAGCAACTGCGCCGTTTCACATTTCACCAGCAGCGTGGGAGGGTTCCGTTTCTCCACACCCTTGTCCATACTGGATCTTGTCTGCTTGACTCTAGCCGTCCTCGTGGGTGTGAAGTTGCATCTCATTGTGGTTTTGATGTGCATTTTGCTGATGGCTAATGGTTTTGAGCATCTTTTCGCGTATTTATTGGCCATTTGCTTATCCTCTTTGGAGAAGTCGTTTTTACGTGGCGCACTGTCAGCGGTCCTTATCTGGACACTCGTTACTTACCCGCATGTCCGTGGGTATGTTCCGAGGAGCCGGGCCTCAGGGTCACCCAGAGCTCCGGGGCAGCAGGGCAGCAGGGCTGAGGCCCCCGCCCGGCCCCCCAGTAGGCACAGCCCCCAGCCCCCCAGCAGGCACAGCCCCTGGTGTTCCAGCCACAGTTTTGGGCCACGGAAGTGCATTGCTCTCCCTGCATTTCCATGGGGTGGGGAGGGCATGCTCTTCATTTGTCACCAGTTGGCATTTAGGCTGGATGTCCTGTGGGGCCCATTTCCTTCCTCCAAAGGGGCCCTCCTCTCCATCGGGGGTCTGGGCGACAGCTTGCTGGGGGGCTGCACCCCATTTCATCTTCACTCCAGACATCTTTTCTGTTTTCTTTTTTCCAGCGACACTACCTGAGAAGCCTGTGAAGATGGCGCCACGTGCCAGAGATAAGACAGGCGTCGCCCAGGCGCTCCCTTCCGCAAGGGCGAGGACAGAGTAAGAGGGGCTGGGTGGGTGCCCGCCTTTCAGTGCTGCTCAGGGGAGCCGCCTCGGGGAGCGGAGAGAGAGTGGGGCTGGGGGTCAGAGGTCCCGGCTGTGGTCTCCCCTGCACCGCTCCTTACTGTGTGTCCCGGGCAATCCCTGAACCTCTCTGAGCCGCCGTTTCTTTCTCGGGCTCAGAGGATTGGTGATTTTCAGTGGTTTGCTCTGAGGGTCTGACAGTTGAGCGGCAGCAGGGAGCTCTGTGAGCGCCCTCCCCTTCCTTGTAGCTGAAGCAGATCTGCTTTTCTCTCTTACCTGTTGTGTTTAAGATTTTGGTTTTGAAGAGGCTCTACTTTTTTTAAAAGTTAAAAGTCATGGCATTGGGGAGCCTGCGAAGCTCCTCCAGCAGCTCTGTCCTCCGCGAAAGCGTCTCCGGGTTCCCTGGACTCTCCAGGCCGTTCCCCCTTCGTAGCCCCGCTCCTGAGACACTGGAGGGTGGGGAGGGGGTCGCCACGGCTATGCCAACGTGCCCTGCGCCCGCCCGCGGAGGCAGGGGGTGCTCATTCCGCCCTTTGCAGGTCCCTCCTGGAACAGGACGCCTTCGGCACCATGGCCGACCCGGCAGGAGCGGAGGCCGAGGTGAGCCTGGCCCCGAGGCAGTGAGGTGGGCGTCATGGCCCAGGGCTGCTCACAGGACGGCTTCGAGGGCCCTGCGAAGCCAGTTCCTAAAGCCAAACAGCACCAAGGGCTGCCCAATGCCCAGGGCATCATCCTCTTCCTCCCCCGCGGAGGCGGCCTGGAGGGCAGAGCGGGCAGCGGCCGGGGGCTCGAGTGTTGCCCGTGGAGCTGGATGTCCACAGGGGCCCACGGGGCCGTCACTGGCGGGAAGGGCAGCGCTGAGGCCCTGGGAGCGGGCCTTCCCGTTGGGAGGAAGCGGAGTGGCAGCCTCTCTGGGCCTCCGCACCCGGGCCGGTTCCACTTCAGGCAGCACCCGGCCCTCGGAGGGCAGGCTCCTGGCGAGGCCCACTGGCGAGCTCTGCTCCGACCTGACAGCAGCTGCCAGGCCCTTGACTAACCCCGTCTTTCCCCTCCGGTGGCCTCAGGATTCTGACATCTCAGATGCAGACCCGCAGGCTTTGCTCCAGGCCATGAAGGTAGGAAGCGGCTTGCATTCGGGTTGTGGTAGCGGGTGGGCTGGGCTGGCGATATTTCCTGCCACGCGTTCATTCTTCCTCTCACGATGGCGTTTGAGCCCTTCCCAGGGCAAGAATGGAGCTCATCGTGAGCTGCTGCCCTCTGCCCTCTGGGGATGAGTCCCATTTCCTGGTTCAGAGGTTCTCCCACGCAGACACATCAGGCCCAGGCCTCTGAGACATGGCCAGCTCCTCCCCACCCCCCAAGGCTCACCTGGCTGCCCTCCACGCCCCCCACCCCACCTCTACCCGGTGGGGAAGACGGAGACCGAGACGGTCTCCTCTGGAGCTTGTTCTCAGCCTTTCTCCTCATCCCTCCCACCCCCTGCCGAGTCCCCTCCAGTCCCGCTTCCAGCTTCCTCCGGTCAGTCAGGACCCAAGCTGGCCTGGACCCTGGAATTGAAGACATTGGAGGATTAGCCACAGCTGAGCACCGTGGGGTCCCCCCCTTTCCAGGATCTGGACGAGATGGATGCTGACCTCTTGGGTCTGAAGACGTCTCCTCGAGCCCCTCACAAAGGCGCCGCCAAGGGTTCTGGGAAAGAAGAGCTGCCTAGCAGCCCCCAGCCCATCGCTCCGCTCACTGCCCATGAGAAAGGTGAGGGGGACACAGCCTCGGACCCGAGGCCTTGGCGACCGGAAGATGCTGGGAAGGGCGCTCTCCGGCCCCGGGGGCTCTCTGCCTGGGACGGAGGCCAGGAGCTGACTGTGTGAGTGTTCATGGCGGGAGGGGGATGAGCTGTCCCTGTCCCTCTGCGCCCAGTGGCAGCTCCTGGAGCAGCCACCTGAGAACATTGGAGAGCTTCGTGGTAGCCCGTGCCGCTCCCAGACCCGTGTCCCTGGAGTGCCTGTGCCTGGTGCCGTGTGTCCTGCCGGAGCCTGTGTGAGAACAGGGAGGTGCAGACACCGCCCACGGCTGAGTCCACGCCAGCCCCTGAGCTCCACCTGGGAGAAGTGCGCGCCGCCCGGCCAGGCCTGCCATGACCTTGCCTTCTCTCTGCAGGGGATGCCATTCCCACCAAGAAGCCCTCCCCGTCTCCCAGCAGCTTTGGGCGTCAGTACAAGAAGTTTTCTTTCGAAGGTACCACAGGCCTTCCGGCCACGCTCCTGGGACACTCGGTGGGGAGGGAGTAGCCATGGTGACACAAACTTGCCCACAGCCCAGTCGCTGTGTGTCAGATGAGCAGAGGGCTGGGGCCGCTGATTTAATTCCTCATGAGTCCAGGGCGGGACTAATGTGGACCCACCGGCTACTTGGGGAACTTATTTGCAAGAAATTTGGAGCCAGACATCCCGCTGGAGATTTTATAAAGTGTAGATGTCCTTT